TATCGGTGCCCACTTCTGCCTTCACGACCAGTCGGACTATCCCTCAGCACTGCCACCACTTTAAGACATGTCGGACTATCCTTTAGAGGGACTCCCAACACCCCATGTCTTAATGTGACGGCAATGCCTCGAGACTCCCAACACCCCTGGCCTCTTCCCGGTGCACATCTCCGCCTTCACGACCAGTCGGACTATCCAATTGTGGACTCCCAGCACCCCTGGCCTTCTGTCTGTGCCGATGTCTGTTCTCAACAACCAAACAGGTTATGCTTACGGAGGACTTCCGACTTCCGATTCTGATTTGAGCGTCAATTCTGTAGTTAAAGATCTTTTCTTTTAATGACTTAATTGTGGTCGAAATGCATGCAATGGTCGGTCAAAACCAGTGCCCTCTCAATCCCATTAAGGCTCGGATCAGGTATTTGTCATCGTTTTGAAGACATATCTCTATTTTGATACGATTGGAGTTTTTGTTTGATTTGTGTTTTTAACGTTTTGAACAATAATGCAATGTTTTAATTAAAATTTTTAAATTTAAGTTTCGCAAAATAAAATAATTAAAACATAAAATTATAACAATAAATTATATCGAGAGAGAGAGAGAGAGAGAGAGAGAGAGAGAGAGGCTGTGATTTGGTAATCACTAGAGGGAGGAATTGATGCTTAGAGAAAGTGTGCGGAGAAACGCATAGAAATCTGTGTTCTAACAGCGGTTCGCATATAATATTGATATACACTATAACTCCAAAGCATTTTCAATAAAAGTATTATTGAATAGAAAATGGTTTTAAGAGATCAATAGCTAAATGGTTTCTATGGAAATATGCGGTATATATGGTGTAAATGAGTCTCTTTTATTGCACAATGAGTTTTATAATGATTTGTTTGAAATAAATTAAATTGTATTATAACTCTAACTAATAATGAAATATAATTAATTTTTATTTATTTACCTATATTTTATATGTTTTTATGCGAAATTTTTAATTAAATTTTTTGTAACACATTTTGCAAGTATAATGAGTTTTTGGCAAATATAAAGAATTTGATAAATTAGTAAACAATTGGTTAGAAATCGTCTCTGACTTGTTATTTAATTTAAAACGTGTTAAACTTACAACACATTAATGGAGAAACAACAAATGATAGATATAAATCAATTGTCAACGGATCCCATAAACACAATCATATCATTTTATAAGTGGTGCGACTCTTATGCCGGTCTGTAATCAATGTTTTATTCATTCATTTATAAAAACCATTCAATTTTATAAATTTTTAATTTCCAATTTTTAAATCAGATCCTCGGCTGAAGGGCTGGCCATTAATGAGTAGTCCGATACCAACGCTTGTAATACTTTCAATATACTTTCTAATCGTTAAGTTTGGTCCCATTTATATGAAAAATAGACAATCGTTTAAATTAAAATGGATTTTAATTGTTTATAATTTCGGAATTACTCTTTTCAATGCTTGGATGGCTTTCGAGGTATTTATAAATTTGCGATAAAATAAAATATAATGATTTGTATTGATTTTTAAAAAATAAAATGGCTCACATTAATTTACTTAATTATGATTTACTAATTTTTATTTAAATACATATTTATAATTCATGTATTTATAGGAATCCTTTATCTATCAATATTACTAATATTTTGTATGAAAATAACATAAAATATATTCTCATTTTGATCTAAATTATAGTTATTATATTGTGGTATAAAAAGAAAGTACAACTTTATTTGTCAACTCGTCAATACATCCAATGATCCCTTTGAAGTCAGAGTGAGTTTACTTTCACTTCTTATTCATGCAATTCTTTAATTTTTGCAAAACATAATGTTTTAAATAAATGAATTGACATACAGTATACAGTAAATGTAAATTAGCAGTATTATGTAATCCTTTCACCAATAAATTAGAATTAGTTTATATAATTCATTCACAAAATATCTATAATAAGAAATGATTGATTTGTTTCTCATACGAATAGATAGCGATAGCCATTTGGTGCTACTACTTCTCAAAGTGTATTGAATTGTTGGACACAATATTCTTCATATTGCGAAAGAAAGCAAATCAATTGACATTCCTCCACATTTACCATCATTCATCAATGTTCATATTCTGGTGGGTGGGCGCCAAGTATGTGCCGGGAGGGTCGGCCCTAACCGGTGCGATGGTTAACTGCTTTGTACACATTGTAATGTACTTTTACTACGGATTGGCCGCTATTGGGCCACCGATTACTCGATATCTTTGGTGGAAAAAATACTTAACTATTTTACAATTGGTATAAACTTTTGTTTAAATGAATTATTTAGCATAATTTCATTAGCGAGACATAAGATTATATTAAATACGCAAATATTTTGAAAATTAGATGCAATTCACAACTGGAGTGGTGTTGGGTCTGAACTCAATTATAACTAACTGTGCGTTTACCCGATGGATGCAATATGTGTTTGTCTGCTATGCCTTCTCTTTCTTCGTATTGTTTGGAAGATTTTATCAAAAGGCTTACTGTTATGGCGATCAGGCATTGAAGGTAACCATTAACCCATTTATTATGCTTTTTTATTATATAATTAATATTATATTCTTTTATTCTCATATTAATGCCCGCAAGGAATCCGATAAAAGTATACAAAAACTTTTTTATTATAAAACTAGTATAGAATTCAATTAATAATTATTTATTAACCCATAAATTCCGTTATTACTTTTAAATTAATTACTTTTAAAAATTAATAGTTAAAACCTATTTTACAGAAGGGAATTGAATGGACTGATCAGAGGTGTAACAAGAAATGCACAAAATTTTGTATAAAAATAAGTGGCGCTGAGCTATGAATACTTAACTCTAATATGCGGTACATTTAGTGAGAATTAGTTGTCTTAATATTGTCTTCAATAACATTAAACTCAACGATAATATAATATATTAAACGAATACTTGGATTATGTTTTTTGGTTCAAAATACTTCAATTATACTGTATTTAAAATACTAAAATTAAAAGTATTGCCAAACGATATATTGGTTGTGATTTAAAATCCAACTGAACTTCAATATAATAGACGACACAACTTAGGGATTGATTTTTATTTTACAAAATTAATACAATTTTTACAATAATTTAACTAATTTTTATTGTACTTAATATTTATATAATATTTCATAAACTATAATAAAATTCTTAAAATTGACAAATTTTTATAACTTATTTCATTAATATTTATAACATATAAGTTATAATCATATAATTATAAAACTCTCTCTCTCTCTCTCTCTCTCTCTCTCTT